CTACTACATTCTCCCTTATATTTATCAGCAATCTCATTTTGTACAATCAAATTTATTTACTTATCTTGAAATCCTCACCGCCATGGTTAAACTCGCTTTTCTAACAACTGGAGCTCCTACTTTTACGCAATCGGGCACATAAACACTGCTCCTTCACAGTCAAAAGTCATTTTGGTGCACGGTTTAAAGTAACAAAAGAGTGTCACAAAGTGGCTAACTGTTTGCAGATTTGTTAATTTTACTTCTCCATATACGTTGTTTCTTTTTTGTAGTGGCTGGCTCTCGAATGGCGGAGAACGTTCAGTCAGCGCCTTTATTATTCTTCCAAACCAGAACTGCAAATTTGAAGATCTGGACTCTCTCTGTAAAACAGGTGGGTTAGCGTTCTAAAATTAACCCAGTTTTTTATCGTTTCACCCTACAAATTAAAACTCCGAATTATTATTTTTTTCTTTTAGTCAACGTCCCCCATATTTATGAAATTAAAAACTTTCTTTGAGAAAAGTAGGAAATATTCCACACATCGTCAGACTTTGAGTAAATATGCTAAATAAAAAACATCGGAGCTTGTGATTGACTTCCTTCTTATCAGGATATCCAACCCTATTTTTCGATAGTTGAAGCTGGATGCGTAAAGAGGTCGCTTATTTGGGTGCCAAATCTATTTGGTATTTCAGCAAATGTTTTAACCAAGTTTCGGCAACTTCCTAACGTATGGAAGGATTCACAACTTATTTGCTTATGGTGACTGGTGACTGGAACTATATTTTTTCTTCTTTTGAACCTTGTCTTTTTTATAAATAAACGTACAAAATCTCTAGATTGACCATATTTGCAAAATAATCCAGATAGGTAATTTAGATCGACTAGGTGACCTTAATCACCAGATCAATGCCTTTTCTTTTCAATTTAATAGACGATTGGAGGTACTCGTATTGTCAAATAGTGCGCTGTTGTTTTCATAGTATAGAAATATTCCCGTGTATGCTTCTTTGCGGCTAAAACACTTGCGTAACGAGTTGTAAGCCTTTCAGTGTGTCGTAGAAGTTAGCCTGCGCATTGCCTTGCTAAATCTATGGAGTTGAATCTGAGCGCATAAACGATAACAAGGAGATTGTGATTCCTTTCAGATTCTCTAGAAACACTATTTAGTGCTAAATTGAAGTTTTATAGTCCCACTTATATGGAGCGATGTGACTTTTGTTCCATTTAAAACTATTTCGTCATCAAGGGTGTGTATAGCTATTTGAGACGACGGCAAGAATGATTATAGAGGCCGAAAAATCCCGTCAACCTGTAATAAGAAACTACTTTCAAATGTTCGATAGCCTTATCGCAGAGGGTTAAGTAATTTAAACCCTAGCAAATGCGATCTTCAAACCATGGTTGCTTAGTAGAGAATAAGTCAGTGGAGGCCATAATAGTGGGAATAGTGTATTGTGTACACAAACGAACAAAGAATAGATGGAAAGAAGTTGGACTTCGGAGCACACGTCATTCCATTGGAGCGCCGTGGCCCTAAGTGACGCCTGGCGGCCGAGGGTGGGGAAAAGGGGACATGGTTGAGTGGTGCTTGGGCAGCCGCGAGAACCTAGACGCATGTGTGTGTGTCCGAGTGGAAGTAGGTCAAGTCTCTGCAGGTCAGTGCGTCTGTAAGCGCTGACTGAGTTATAGGATGACCTCGAGGCAGCTGGCCATGAACACTGATGCTGGACAAAGCAATAGAGGGCGTTGGATTACAGAGACCGCTACAACCTGATTTCAACTTTTTTCATTAAATTCCACCAATAGGAGGAAGAATTGCCATTTTGTTTAAATTCCGCCTACAGAAGATCAAATCTTCCTCGATTAGCTTTCGTTTTCTACACAATAGAGGTTTATCTTGATTGAAGTTAATTGTATTTAGCATATTAAAACAAACATGATCTTATTTAATTTAATATTTTTTGATCAATTCCGCCACAATTACATAATTAATTGACGCTCACTAGCCAAGAATTACATGCTTAACTACAGAATACTTGAAGCAGTCGGGCGGGGGAATAGATATCTAGAGGGGCCCTAAAATCATTTTTGCTGCGACGAGTGCCTTCGCCTCTTACTTGCAGGTTGATTCTATGGGTGTACACGCCGACTGCTAAGGGTAGTCGTTGGTTTGTTTGCAACTTTTATTTATTGTTTTCTCATTATTTTTACATATTTTCAGACACCTTCCTACTGTACAAAGGGATTTGCAATGCACTTGCTTTGGATGCCTAGTTATAACTATTTAGGTTCCCTTATTTTGACACTTTTTGCTTCATACATCAGCGTACAAAATCCCTAAGTTAACTTTTATGGGGAAAATGCTTCAGATAGGTAGTTTAGCTCGATTCGATTGTTTTACTTATCAGAACAATGGGCTTATGCTTGACGAAGCAGACCGTTAACAGGATGTCGTTTTGTGTGTTGACTTCATAGTGTAGAATTACTTTGGCATCCGGTTAGTTGCGGCAAATACGTGTGTCTACTTTTCCGTAAGTCTTTCTTCGCTGTGGGTATCAGAGTATTTCGGTCAAACGAGCATGTGCCTCATCGAGTCCCTGAAAATTAGTGCAAGCAGGAGGACTATCGCTTCGCCAATGAGATGACTAGACAAGTGTCAGGAAGCTGTTTCTTGACTGGCGCATTTTATAGGGCTATCAAAATGTAGCTGGACTCCAAGATGTTGAGCAAAATACGTTTCAATGTGTCGGGACATGGCCGACAAAAAAACAGCCAAATTCCAAATGGTTCATCAGCGTATACTTTCACGTGACTCCGATAACTGGTAGGTGAGGAGTAGAAGAGGGAAAGGATCAGCTAATGATCAAGCGACGCGCACTCGACGTTTGCTCCCCGACATGCTAAAGAAAACAAACTCGATTTCCACTTATAGCATCACTTGGACAATTAACTCTATGCTGGGTGACGGGTCACCAAGGCGCCTTAAGTTTTTGTTACGATGACAGAATTCATGCGGAATCCACCAGCAAGCAACCACGGAGAGGATAGAAGCAGAACGAAGTTAGTTTGCCGGACGGGCGGAGTCCTAAGATAGCAAGCCTGTTTGAACAAATTAGGGTGAGAGGGACCAGTTAGATCACCGTTCTGGCGATGAGAAGCAGGACTTTTCCGAAACGTGGTTCGGTCCGTAAATTCCTGCCTTGGTTTTTGTCCTTCCTGGAGACAATGAAGACCGTGTTTTATTTTAACTATGGATCGTTTTCCATGCTGGCATATATTTGTTTATGCAGAATCACCCGTTTAACAAAGATACTGTAGACTGGAAAGATAGTTTCGGCTTTATTAGCATTAATCAGTCAGTCATACTTGTCGGTTGTCCCGTGACGCTAGACTGAGCGCCAGGGCATCACGGGACGCCATCTGCCGTTCAATTACATATTTTGCACTTATCATTACTCGCATCTCATTGTACTTTTAGCCCGTTTCTTTGCCAACCTGAACATTGGTCCTCACACTGATCTTAGCGCTGTTCGTGCCCTCATCAGTCAAAACAACCTGAAATCGCACTTTTCTACCCCACAAGACGGTCGCGTGCAGATAAATCGAAGTCTTCCAAGCCAGTGGATCTTCCTAGACAGTGAGTATGCTTTTGCCCTCATAAATATCCTCAGGAATCTTACGAAAATGACTGCCGTTGTCTCACATTCCGAGCCTTCTTGTTCCTCTTCAGTGACTGCGATCAATGGAAATGTTTTTGGCATCGATCCGAGCACAGAATCGTCCCACTTCCTGATCGACATCCTCTCCGACCATGACGAGCTCTTCCTCATTGACATCACTCCAAGCCTCGCTGAGAACGAATCGGTCGATCAGGCGGCCAATATTAGCACAAGTGAGCTCCGTCCTTAGCATTCATTTCTCGACATATCCACCAGTCGCATTAACCAAAACCTCTATTTTCTTTAGGCGTGCCCGACAGAGTTCCCTCACTGCCTGGAAATGTTCCACCTTTACGGGCGAATGAGAACGATTGTGTAAGTCGCTTGACGTTTGAAACAACCTTCTGTCTAAGTTCTGCAAATATTTTCGTGTTTAACTTGACAAGTTGATCCGGCAAGCATGGTTTCGGCAAAAATCATCAGGTCTGCAGAATAACATTGATAATGAAAATAGGAGATAAGTCTTATCATTAAAATGCATTGTTCTTACCTCGATCGCATGGTGAGGTCGCGATGTAAAGGTACTTGGACCGGGGGAGGGGAATAATACGGAAGGCTGTCACTAGTAGTCATGAGTCGAGCATTTGGAGTGAAAACCGTCGTCAGGGGGTGGGGGCGTCATGCGATCACCACATGGCGTCGGCGCCGGCCACGGAAAAACTAATGCATGTATTGGCGTCTTCTGTCAGCACAGCACTGGATTCACTAGCCACATAGCCTCGATTGTTGCTAGGACCCACTGGAGGAGGCCCTTAGATACGTTAGCTAATGTCCGGTAGATAACTTAGAAAGCTTTGTTGAGACTGAATCGGGAGTCGTATCGACTAGATGTGCGTGAAAAGAGCTCGAACTTGATGTTGTTTCTTCTTCCTCCACCAGGCCGGTGTATCTGTTTGTCTCGTGCATACTCAGTGAAAACCAAGTCAATATATTTTTAGGATATTTTAAAATAAAGACAGCATGTGTACCGAATCCGTAGTTCAGAATGAACCGAAGCTCACGAGTATTTCTGAACGCCGAGACGATGGGGGATTCAGAGTGTGGAGAAAGTCTTTCCCGACTCGTACACAGATGTCTGTCTGCCTCCAAAGACCCAGGAAGTTTGCCTTACGGCAGCAATACTCCTTAAAAGGAAGTAATTTTGAGTAAACTAGCCTATCTAGTGTGCTGCATTCAGAAGGCAAATGTTGGCAGAACAGCGAGTTCTAAACTTTTTATTGTAAAATATGCGCTATTAAGACGTAGACCGTATTTCAATTTTTTAAGCTGAAAGCAAGCCGTATTGTTAAAAACACCTTCTCTGCAGATAATCCGTCCTAAGGATGTAATTCCATTTGTTTTGTTTATTCGTGCTACCCTAAGTAGTGTTCAGGGAGTAATATGCACTTCTGGCTGCAAGTACACTGAGCGAACGCAAACGTTGTTGGCGACGGGGTGGGTTGAGAGATCGAGGAGTGATAATTTGCTAAATAAGAAGAGCTCAACAGAACAGGATTATTGCAGTGATTATGTTTTGAAGGGAATGGCCAGCTCACCACTGTCAAAGCGCTAAATGTACTTAAACGGACATAAATGAAAGTTCTCCGAAAATTCCCATTTTACGATTGAAAAGTCGTATTGGCAAACAATTGTTTTCGGTCATTCATCAGCAGGCCGGTACATGACATGAGGAATGAAAATGGTCAGTTAGTTGCAGCGTTTTTATAATCGTCAGGTTGTGGGAAGAAGAGGAATGGGCTTAGTAGGCGGGTGAGTGTAATTAAGCATCTGGGTTTTCCCTCGTCTCCTGAATGCGGGCGCCCGCGCGGGCAGGACATTGGTTGTGATGCGCAGAGAAGACAGAGGGGATGTTCTCACGGTCAGCGGGCAGAGGTCTGTATTCCAGCATCATAGCTTGCGTTTGACTGTTCTCTGTGGCTTCATTTTGTTTGTTTTCGGTCGACGTGGCTTCAAGAGGTGTAGGATTTTCGCGTGTAATCGGCCAAGGGAGGCAGATTGCTTGTACCAACGCCTTTTGACAGCATAAAGTGGGTTTTGCTAACCGGATTGCCACTGCCTCTGCTGTGGCTAACACCCGTTTGCGCAGGCCTTTGGAGTATTGTGTTGGCGTGCGGTAAAAGTGACGTGCGGCGTGATGTTGGCGGCGTGAAAGTGACGTGCCCTGGCCTGCTTGTCGGCCTTGGGCTGATCGGTTTTTATGTTCGCCATTTCAGTCCTTTAGAGCACGTTTGGCGGGCATTGGAGCTGCATGTGTCGTGAGTCCCTACCTCGATAGGAGGCGATCGATCCTCTGCCGTTGTTGTTCCGTCTGGTCAAGCGAATTCGCCGACGTCTTTTTTTGTAACTTAGGTGTGACCGTCTTCTCATGAACATTGTATACATTGTGGATATAATGACTCTTTAAGCCTGAAAGGTATTCGAAGTTAGTCAGCAAAGTCTCACGCTGTTTTATCATGACGAACCACCCATCTAGTGGATCTTCTACTGATCTAAAATCAGCATTTCGAGTACTTGTTGGCGCAAAAATAGTCTACACGTTGTTTCGCTTAGAAACATTGTACATATGAAGGAATTAGCCTAACCTTTGGGGATTTTAGTTTGTCATCATCGAACATCCAATTTGTGCACATCTTTAGACGTGGTCATGATTGCTATGTTTTATTTCTAGTGCAATTTAGTCAATTAAACTGTATTTGATGTTGTAACTTGGCATTCTAACAGCCTAAGTACAAGTTAAGAGGCCCAGACACGTGTTTCGCCGATATTCTGCCTCTGCTTGACACAGCTGCGAGGGATCTGGCTCATCAGGTACCTAATGCCTAGGCTGTTAGTATAGTAAGTTGCAACATCAATATATACTAGTAAAGCCTGTCCGTTGGCAGCAAGTACATATTTCGCAATGGTTGACGGGTTTCAACCCAAATATACACTTATATTTTCTGTCTACGCCTATAGACCTTAAGAATACTGATGTATACCGTGAACAGGAAGATTTAAAAAATTAAAAGCTAAACTGTATATTTTTCTGAATTGTAAAATAACAGTCTTAAAGTTGACTCCTCGGGAGAATTCCCACGCTATTTTGCATCCACCCTGCCCTAAGCACACCTGTGACTAACTGAAAGTTTTGTTGCCAGAGTAATTTCGCCCTTTGGTGCGTTAAATATGCCAAGTTTGAAGCTGGACACTAAACAAAACTATCATTTCGAGGCTTTAGCACACACACAATAGAATTCAACTGAAATCTATGCAGTATAATCATCCACAGCTAGAATGAATAGCCTGGACAAATTAGTTGAACACAAGCTGGACAGTACTTCGAGGATATGATGAGTAAATGCAGATCAGCAGCCCAGCATTATCAGCCAGACCCGGTGATTATTCATCCGGCTGTAAACGCCCACTTTTGCGGGGACACACACGCACGGGAAAAAGATAATACGGTACCAAGGAGACAGTGGACACTCCACGTTGCGCCCATCACGAGGCTAATTTTCCGTCTCGTCGGACTAAGCCCTTAAGTGGGGCCCAGTAGCCTCCTGTGTCTGTATTCGCTTTGCACTCCTCCGTTTGTATCAATTAATTTGACACGTAAAATTAATGTTTCGGTCTCGCAATATGATAACTGCTTCAAGCACTGGTATTTGAGATTAGTGATAACCTCCAGATAATTGCTGCGGTGATAGTGGCGTCGCATGGATCGTTAAGAAGCCAGTGAACCTCCGAGGAACGATAAGTTATGTCCTGTCCGAAAAGACGTCCGTGGAGAGCGCTTCGCAGCGTAAGACTGCATTCCCTCCTTTAGGTAAGAAGGGCAGCATTACTGACGTCCAGATGTTAAGGCAACCGAAAAGGTTTTTGAAGTCATTGAATAGGCTCTGCAGTGTGTCAAAAATATTGAGGCTGATTGTAAGATATCCATAGGTTGGAAATAGTAACACTGAGAAGCAACATTCGTAGATATTTTTGAAGCAGGACAATTCTAGGGTAGTTGAAGTGATTAAGTTCAGTAAATGCAATGGGCAAAAGTAGTTTGTGTAGTGTACCTTAGGTATTTAAGGCTCTAGTCTTCTGTCTTACAGGACTGGTAAGATTGGGGGGTTATGGGTTGGGAGAACGGATGGAGAAGAATGGGACTTTGTAAAAATTAATCTAAAAGTCGTAAAGTTCTGTTGAAATAGTTTAATGCGGCTGGTATATAGCGACGGCGTTGGGCGCGTAAATCGAAAAAAGGTGTGAAAAACAAATCGAGCTCGAATCGAGGTCAACAAACCTCGAAATGTCCACTTTTATTTTGCAGCCCAAAACCAGTAACAATGGAATATTTTGAAAACTTTTTATAAGATAAAGCGTTTATTATTAATCTGGTAAAATGGATTACTGTACAAACGTATAAAATAGTCAGATGTAATGTTAAATATTAGACTTCTCAAATTCCTGTAACTGGCTGCTATGAACAACCGGCGGTTTTGTGGCCGGTCTACTTGAGGGCTAAATTGAAGCAACTCATATATCACTTTTAACTTTCTGAGTTATGATATGTGTATATATCGTTGGGCATGTTCGCCGACCTTGGGCGAGGTCACTGAAGCACATTTTTTTAATACCATCATTATCGCGCTGAAGAAGCAGGAAGCCGTCCGCGGCTACTACTCCGGTGACTTAAATGAATAGGCATAAATAAGCCTACTGAAACGAATATAGTAGTTATTTTAGTGTTTCTTTCAAAAAGGTCACTTCTCATCCTACGTTTACCAAACAATGCTTTCAAAAGATATGTCTACCTAAAAAACTCCCCTCCACCTTAAATCGCAGTACGACAAGGTTTAAGACCCGAGAATGGAGTCAATATGGAAATTTTGGAGTGATAAATATGGGAAAGAGTGGGCTAAGTCGGTGGCCTAACTTACCACTAAAATGGAAGTTGCTGTAATGAGATTTTTAAGGGTGGGGGCGCACCGCGAACAGACATCGAAAGATGTGCGAGGAAGAATAAAATTAAATAAGTTTCCGATAGAAATATGAGAGAGTAATTTTAACAAAAAAAACCTGAAGGGCACCTTTCGGTATATAAGCGAAGTTGACTAACAAAAACCAAAATAAGCCGACTTTGTGCATGTAGTAGTTAACACATAAAGGGTCACTTTCCACAAATATAAGATAATAAACAAAACCATGCCAGGCTTTGTA